GCATTAGGGGGGAGCATTGAGGAACCTGGCCTTGGGGCAGCAGAGAGAGTAAATCCAGCCCTGGTCAGGGTTAACAATGAATACATTAATCATCCATAACTTAGTTTGCCTACAACATTTTACTAGGTGATGAATCCAAATGACCATCACTGGTAGACACATAGAATATTTTTACATATAAAACTGGAAATGAATATGCTAATGCGTTTTTGATACTGTGCTAAGGTGTTCTTGTCTCAGATCTCCAAACAGAGTGTCAATAACCCAGGATGAATATCTTATTCAGATGAATCATGGAAAAATAATGAGGTATAATACCATGACATGATTCATAGTTTCATCCCTAAACAACATAAATCACTGCAGCCTTAATACTCCCTATTGTTTAAGTGACATACAGTATTTATGATGGACAGCGCAGGACACTTGCCTTATTGTAGTCTATGCAATCTTTGACCGGAGGTCAGGATGGGATGATGGGGAATCAGCACTCCTAGACATGGGTATATAGATAAACTAGGAAGGTGTACAAAGTAGACATGTGCGATTCGTTTCGTTCTGATTCAGAATTTGTACGAATTTTCAAAAATTTGGCCATTTGGACACATCCGAATTTCCGAATCCCAATGCATCCGAATGGGTCCGAATCCGAAATTCCATTTCTGAATTTTGTATCCCATCCAAATTTAGTTCAAAAACAAAAGTGAATTGGACATGTGACCTTTCTGGCCAATCAGATGTGTTTTTCGGTTTAATACATTCAAATGGGTCTGAATCCAAATTTTCGTTACAGCAACATGGGAGCCATATACAGTACAGATGCTCCTCGCTTAACGACTTACCTGTTTTGCGACCACTCGCACTTACGACCGACCTCCGAGCGACCTCCGACCTTGCGCGTCAGAGTCAGTGCGACGTGTCGCCGGGGGAAGTGACGTCCTCTGATCTTCACTGCGGGTCCCGGTGAGTATTTTCATTGCCCGATGTACAGTACACTGTTCGGTACTGTACATCTGCAACGCTATACAGTACTAATGCAGTACAGTACTGTATAGAGTTCCTCACTTAACGACCAATTCGTTTAACGACCTGGTCGTAGGAACGGAACTCGGTCGTTAAGTGAGGAATACCTGTATATACATATAATACTAAAGCTGAGGCTCCTAGACCCGAATGGCATTTGGGAACTCTCAAATGCAATTCAGGTCTGGGAGTCTCAGCTTTAGTAATATATGTATATGACTCCCAGACCCGAATGGCATTCTGGATCCGAATTTCCAAATTGCAATCGGGAGCTCCTGAATGCTATTCGGGTCTGGGAGTCTCAGCTTTAACATTATATATGTATATGGCTCCCAGGCCCGAATGGCATTCGGGTTCCGAATTTCATAATTGCATTTGGGGAGCTCCTGAATGCCATTCGGGTCTGGGAGCCATATAATATAATACTAAAGCTGAGGCTCCCAGACCCGAATGATATTCGGGAGCTCCCCAAATGCAATTATGAAATTCGGATCCCGAATGCCATTCTGGCCTGGGAGATTCAGCTTTAGTATTAATATCTGTATATGGTTTTCTGTGGTATTCGCAGCGAATATCCGTAAACTCATCCGAAACTAACAGAAATTTGGATTTAGTCTGAATCCAAAACCCGAACCGAATTGAATTTCGGATCTGAATCCGGAAACCCGAAACAATGAAATATCCGAACTGAATTTTTCCCCAGCTTACATGTCTACTACAAAGGAGTAAATCAGTTTACCAGGTGGAAAGGGCAGTCTCTGACTGAGATTCCCTTTCCAGAGACCTCCATGGGCAAGATGACTTTGTCTTTTTTTACAGCCCAACTCCAGTCTCCCTAATTTAGCATTGCGTAGTAAATAGTCTCCCCAGAGCTGGCTGGCTTAGAGCTGTCTGAAGCTGAACTTTCCTATATCATCCAGCTCCCTTCTCCCAGCCAGGTTGTCCAAGCCAAATCACTAATGGAGATGAGGTCACAGCATTTGCATAGCTAGCTGTGGGTATTACTAGTTGTAGAGTCCAGATCCCAACAACTCATCCAGAAACACCCACAACCAGTAAATTACACCATGCAGTACTGTGTATGAGCAAAGCAAGGGGTGTTATATTGGCCACTCATAAAACCTATGCCTGCCCCAACCAGATGAAAAATAGCAGTGTGTCCTGAGACATGTAGTCCCAAAGTGGTACAAGATGGAGGACTGGGGACAGTAGCTACCTTATATCCTGAAGATGGCCTTTAGGGCAAGAAACCCTAAATAATTGCAAGACAAACATACCACTAAACTGCAGCTACAACCATGTATTGTGTGTGCCATCTAAGAATAGCAATGAAAAATGCCCTCTAGTACCTGCCAAGGTTTAAAATTCTGAAGCCTTGCACAAGTTCCATTAGAGAAAGGTCCCTTTCCATTCTGACACATGTGAAGGTCATGCAAGGATTTAGCTGTGACCTGAACAGATGTGTATATATTGTATGAAGTCCTCAGGTTGGACACATCAGTGTACGCGTTCTCAACAGCTTCGAGAGTCTCATCTCCTGTACAAAGACTGCTATTCTTAGTCCAGTCTGGATCTGTTTTATCAAGAAACTTGCATTCAAAAGACTTTTCCCAAAATATCTTGGTAACCGTTTGCCCTAGAGGGTGAGAAGGATGGACCTTCTTCAGGTATTCTTCAAACCCGGGGATCGTTGAGCTGTGAAAAGAAAAACCAATAGACCCAGCAAGAATAGAAGAATATTTATCTGCTAAAAGTATGGTTGAGATGCACCAGGCTTCACTTGCTATGAAGACCTTCCCAGTAACATTCATCTTCACCATTTCATCCAAGAGCGGAATAAAGAAGACGTCGATAGAGAAAATGACTATAGCCTTTGCTGTAGACTGTTTGATGACCCTCGTGATATAAGGGGCATTTCTGTCTGCCCGATTAAGAAGAATGACTTCAGAGAAGGCCACGCAAGCTCCAGCCTGAAGGATCTCTTGTTTAATGATCTGAATGCCCTGCTGTCCATAGTCATTTCCCATCGCCACCAAACCCACCCAAGTCCAACCAAAATGTAGCACCAGCTGAGCCAATCCCTGAGACTGGAAAGAGTCACTGGGGACAGTCCGGAAGAACGATGGAAACTGTGTGCGGTCACTTAGAAGAGCACTTGTTGCATAGTGGCTTATCTGAAAGGGTACATAAGAGTCATTAGATGGTGGTTTGTATTTGGTTTTGGGGTAAATGGATAATCCATTAAAATGATAAAGCTACAAAATAAAGCTAAAACAGATAAGAGAAGAAGAAAGAGCACCACAACAGCACCATGAGTATGAAAATCTTCTGAGACCACTCAAAAGCAATTATTTGAACTGCAGTTAACTCGTCTTTGAACTGCTTTAGCTGATTTTGCATTCTCAAGGAGTTTTATGGAGAGAAGTGAGCAAAAGCCGGCCAACACTGGCCCTTGGTATGTAACCGTTAACCTTCTATTCTACAATGCAGTAAGGAACCCTTTGCTGTTCCAGAGCAGAATGGACGTGGTCCCTGCTTTACCATTAAGCAGGAATTTAGAAACAGTCTTTAGTCATGAAACACTCTGATCACATCTCCTCCTGCAGTAGTTCATTTCCACCACCACTAGCGGTTGCTGATAGGAAAGATACTAACTGCTCTTTTATCCCACTATAGGTTCTGCCCCTTGTCTCCCCTTCAGCTGCCACTATTGGTGGCTGAAAGCAGATGCTGCAGGAAAAGAACATTGAAAACAGACTGTTTGAATGCTGAAGTTCTCTTGACTGATGGATTTGTCAAATACGTCCCTCCGTTAAAAAAACCAACTAAACACACAAACTGCGCGGCATGGATTTAAATGGCCACAGCAGCCCATTATGAACCAAACAAAAGTTAACAGTTACCAAAAGTAATAATCAAAATAACATACAAATAAATAATCTGAATGACCGTTGGATCCGAGAAAGGGTCTTTGGGTGCCCATCAGCCAAAATAATGCCTCTACTAAAAGTGCTCCCATGTCCCCAACTGCACCCCAACCAGCTCGAGGATAGTTACTGCTCCCAAGTTCCAAGGGGCCAGGCCGTCTGACAAATGGGGGGAAGCACCATACCAGGGGATGGCCCCCCCCATTTTGTAACCAAATCACATTTTCAGACCCCCCTAACCTGCCAAGCTGCCGTGACATAAAAAAGACATTTCCACAACCATCAACCACAAATTAGGGGAAGGCAGGTGGGACAACCTGCTTCCTCTATCGACTCCAGGGACTATTCCTACCCCCATTCATGCAGCCCCTCTGCTCATTTCCTGCAGGTCTGTCTATATCTGTAGCTTTAGTTTATGAGAAAAACAGGGACCCCTAACAATTGACCTTTACAAGTAGAGAACCCTTTGTGGAATATACAGGAAATATATTTACATGCCAAACAAATCTAATTGTTGTACATTTTTTTCATCAGTTAATCCATTTACTTCCCTCAGTCCTTGTGCTGTGTTACAACATATGCAAGATGTTTACCTGTGGATAGCTATATAGTCCTAGGATATGAGCCATAAGAATAGAGTAGGTGGACATAGAATGTCCAAGAATTGCAGCCACTGGCGGTCTTCCCAACCGTAAATAATTTGGAATTGCCTGATTGTGTCCAGTCAACATGCCCAGAGTTCCCTCCAACTCCTTGTGCATCACAGAGCAAGAGTCATAAGCATAGAACCCCAAAGTCCTGTTTGGAAGAACATTCTGGTTTGCATTGACTTCTTCCACTGCAAACCTCAATGCCTGGAACTGCTGGTAGGTCTCAAAAAGGAACCTGGAGGTTTGAAAGAACATATATTAGATGGCAGACATAAGGTTAGGTGATGTTTCTACTTGTCACATATGTAGGTTGTGGTGGAACACCAACTGGCAACCTCTGTGAGGTTAGAATGAATATGCTTTGGGGCATCTCAAGATTGACTCTGGGTATTATGGTGAGGGGGACAATGGCAGATTGATGAAATGATGTTCAATGTTTAAAGCTTTACCTTCAGCCTTGCACAGTTGGGATTTATCTCATGAATGGATAAATCAAAGCCCGGCCTAGATTACAAAGGGTACAGTGACTGCTTTGAGAAATATCCCAGGCACTGACAGGGACCATAAGGTCCCTGCTCTTCAGCATCATTGTTGTGTTAGAAAGATCATAGGGCTAGGTCAAGTTGACTTTAAAAGACCGCTAGCTTTTGGAGTGTAATAATTATGAGTTTTTATGAGGAGAGCTGAAAACAGAGCCACTCCAGGTGCAGATAGAATTATGTTTTGTGAGAAACAAACACTTATCCGTAAGAACTTTAAGGAGAACTATGAGGTGAGTGATTTTCACTCAACCTCATAGTTCAAGCTGACCTGTGACAATGAAACTGTCATACGTCAGCTCTATCGATCGGGAATTGAGTGAACACATACCGTCTCTCGCTCACTTCCCGATCATCTCCCTGCAGAGAGCCGTGACTGTCAGTCACCGCTCCCCACAGGGATTCCTCCCCCCCCTCTCCGATCCCCCTGCGCTGAGTGGAGGAACGGACAGGGTAGGGGCGGGTTCAGCTCTGAACGCCAGATGTCACTCACTGGGTGGATCTCAACAGCATTGTTGGGATTCGTCCCGGCTGCGGCACTCTCAGTATATAGTGAGCAATAGCCCGCTATATACTGAGCTTTGGGTCACGGGAGGAGTTTATTATATGTCCTACTGTTACCCTAAAGAGAACTATGGGATAAAAAGGTTACCCCATAGTTTTCTTTTAAGACTTTTAATAGATGAACAAAAATACCACCGCGATAAATAAGAATTTCTCATCAATGGATATTAATGTATGTGAGCTCACTGACGTCATGGGCTGCCAGGAGCTCAGCGTAGCGCAAGCCAGAGCATCCCGCCCAGCTTCTGGCAACCAGTGATTTCAGTAAACTGGACCACCCGGCCGCCCCACAATGAGATGCCGCCTGAGGCAACCACCTCAGGCTGCCTCATTGCAGGCCCTGCACCTACCTCTAGAAATAAAGGGAGGTTACCTGTAGTGCAGAGAAATAGCTGAAACAATTCAATCGATGAGAGTGAAGCTCAGGCAGAGAGCAAGGTTTATGGCAGAGTCAATGGGTATTTTTTTTGCATTTATTGAACAGATACATTGAAATGCTTTTATTGGTACATTTAGCAAACCAAAAGGTACTAAATAAGAGAAGCTCATTGTTAGGGTTTACATACCATTTAATGCTCTATCTTTGCACCACTAGAGCCCTTCCTGGTTAAATTGTCATCTGCTTGGAGTTTGCATGTACTCTCTGTGTTTGCGTGTGTTTTTTATGCACTTTATTGTCCTATTACAACCCTAAGAAATACCCGTACATTAACTGGCTTCTCCCTAAGTTGGCCCTGCTGTGTGTGCATAACTGCGGTGGGCACATTGGAGTGTAAGGTAATGTTAAAGCTGCATAAATTCATTAGAAAAATACAATTATGACAGGTACTCTTTAAATGTGATACAGTTTGTATACAGAAGGCAACACTTACCATGAGCAGACATCCTCTGGGGGCATCTCTGTAAAAGTTATTGTTGGGGAGACTCTGTCTGTGTGGAAGGGGATGATGGCTCCAATCAACATGTCACCAGCCTCAAATATCAGAGGCAGGTTTGAAAGACTCAGTCTGCATCCAAGGTGGCTGCTGTGAGAGACCGGAATGAGGTAGTGGATGGTCAGATGCCATAAGGTCTTGTAAAAATGAGTCGTGGCCCTGAAATAAGAAACAAAAAAGACCGGGTCAGAACCTTCTGTCTTGAGTGGAACTTCAGCGAAAACATTGGATGGAACGAGGAGAGCTACGGCCTTTGTCAGGTTTTCGTTTAGTGTTTTGGCCCGCCATGTGGCGATGGCTTCTCACTTTCTGTTCCAGAGACACAACAGCAAGACAATGGAAATCTCCAAAAAATGATTTCTGTATGCCTCCTGTTTTAGAGACAAATCGATTCTCCATCACTCTCTGTCCTGGAGACTATGGTCACCTGTAAATCTGCCCAGACCAGAGCGCAGATCCAAAGAAAAACCTGACAGAGCTTCCTCTACCCTTTCCTACTCTTTCCTACAGTATCCACAACTGGGAAAAAAACATTTTTTTGGCTGGATATCCCCTCTAATGTACCACTATGGGCCCATTCACATCTTGGCATCCTGGTGTGTGGCCTTAAAGTGACACTAAACTCAGGAGTTAAATCTTAAAAATACATTCAAGTCCCTTAACTACATTCAAGTCCCTTTATTATCATATGGCTGCAAAACACATTAACAATGCTTACCTATAAGTCACTCCAATCTTAAAGTGACACTACACTCAGGAGTTAAATCTAAAAATACATTCAAGTCCCTTAACTATGAACAACAATGTATCTTATTTGTTAATCACTCGGCTGTAGATCCTCCAATCATCTCTGAATTGGTGCAGACACTGTCCTTGCTTCTGAAGGGGGGCTACGTCTGTTCCCCATGGTCCCTGTGTGTGTTGTAACGTAGTCACCATTTCAAGCTTACTCCAGGGATGGACTACAGTCTCATGTTTAGTTTACTAGTTTGTATTGAGATTGTAGTCCATCGCAGAAGCGAGCTCGGAGCGGTGACTACTTTACAACACACACAGGGACCATGGGGAACAGACGTAGCCCCCCCTCCAGAAGGAAGGACAGTGTCAGCACCAATTCAGAGTTGATTGGAAGATCTACAGCCTAGTGATACACAAATAAAATACATTGTTGTTAATAGTTAAGGGGCTTGAATGTATTTTTAGATTTAACTCCGGAGTGTAGTGTCACTTTAAGATTCGAGTGACTTATAGGTAAGCATTGTTAATGTAATTTGCAGCCATATGATAATAAATACAATAACGATCACACCGAAAGGGATTATTTTAATGAAAGCTGCAGATTTAGAAATGCCAAGAATGACTTTTTAAATAACTTTAAATGAAAATTAGATTTAGTGATTAGTTTTACAAATACTTGAACTATACAGTTTTATGTTTTTTTTATTTATTTAATGCATAGTTATGTGTTGCAAGCAAAGATTTGATTTGCTTTGGTGTGTTGAAGGAAGTCCGTCTTTCTTGGAAAAACACATTAAATACGTTGCAGAAAAAACACACACAAAAATATAAACAATCTGAAAAACATAAGAAAAAACAAACACACTGAAATGAACACATTATAAAACATAAAAGTGACAAGCGGCTCTAAATAGTGTCAGCAAGGACAAGCGTCATGCTTCTGGAGTGTGCAGCTAGCGATGGGAGCTCTCATCATATAGCGTCCTGTTCCGGCAGGTTCTGTTTAATTTTCATCTCTCCTGATACTTTTATGTAATCTGAAATGTGGAGTCATACCTCATCGTGCCTGCCTGTGCCTGTGTGTGTGTAGACGCACTGACACCTCTACTTTATATACAGGATGATCCCGGAGGTCTGTCTCTCTGGAGGGAATAATTGGCTGGTTTAACCTCTGTGTGGTGCCTTGTGAGATGTCTTAATTCAGTTGTTTTTTCCTCCTTGCACAATCTATTATCCTCACAGCCCTAAAGCTGAACTCTGAGATAAATAAATATCATCCTCATACAAGAGTCATGGATATTCTTCTGAACTTTGTGTATTTCTTCCAGATTTGTGTAGTCATCGAGTGTGAGACTTGGAGCTTCCCGCAATAAAGATTGCTCATTGGTGCTCTATCTCAATGTGCAGGGTGACTGATCTTGCCTCCGCCCCCTCCTGTAATAAAGACCGGCCACTGCTGCTCTCCCTCCATGTGCATAGTGACTGATCTTGTCTCCGCCCCTTCCTGTAATAAAGACCGGCCACTGCTGCTCTCCCTCCATGTGCAGAGTGACTGATCTTGTCTCCGCCCCTTCCTGTAATAAAGATCGCTCATTGGTGCTCTATCTCAATGTGCAGAGTGACTGGTCTTGCCTCCGCCCCCTCCTGTAATAAAGACCGGCCACTGCTGCTCTCCCTCCATGTGCAGAGTGACTGGTCTTGCCTCAGCCCCTTCCTGTAATAAAGACCGGCCACTGCTGCTCTCCCTCCATGTGCAGAGTGACTGGTCTTGTCTCCACCCCCTCCTGTACTAAAGGCAGGTGGCAGATGTGGGTGAGGGGCTGCCACAATGTTCCAGGTTACTAATAGCTCTTAGCAAACTGTGATACTCTGTCCGGCCTCCCACACAGCTCACTGACATCACTGGTTGCCAGGAGCTTGGCAGGATGCTCAGCTCTTGGCAACCGGTGGGATCCACTGACTCTGGTGCTAACGACCCAAACGAGCATTAGCTGATAGCACTCCCCCTCTACCCAAACAGCCATACACTGGCAGCACAACCTCCCCGCACTGGAACAACCATACTCTACAAGTACTCCTCCAGCTACACCTCAGCTGGCGAATAGTGTAGTGACAGCGCTGTCCTTAATGGAGACCATAAGCTGCTGTGCCAACTCACATTGCACAGACATGGTCCATTGATGACACTATTAATAAACCTGCCCAGAAAAATGCCATGCAGCCATCACTAGAGTGCATGATACTCAGGACAGGTTTTTTTGGTGCACCCAAGGTTTGCAGCAGCTGGTGTTTTGGGGGAAAACTCAGGAGGCCCTCTCATAGTGACTCCTATAGGTATAAGCTCACTATGCCTTATGTAAAATCCAGCTCTGCTTGCAAAGTGAAGCACATTAGCTGTGCAGGTTTAGGCTTTTCAAGAAAGGCCAATGTTTAATGGATACTTCAGTTGCTTTTGCTTCTCCTTGTAAGGAGTTAATGCTGAGTTAATTATGTGTGCTGTGAGAAGACGGCAGGATGTGCTATGGCTATCTTTTACCATGATAAGATATCTGTGTCTGGTTCTTCCCGTTAGAAATTGTCCTAGAGAACTATACATATGCTATATGGCCAAATGTTGGTGGGCACCTGACCATCACCAGGATGTCTACACGGAGCGGCAGGGTTACTTTTAACCCTGCCGCTCTTCTCCCTGCAGTGAGAGACTCGGGACTCGGCGACGGAGGACGGAGCCAGCGAGGAGAGAGGTAAGTGCAGGGGGGAGGGGAGGAGGCTGCACACTGTTTACATGTGAACTCGGCGGCATTGCCGAGTTCACATGTAAATGAAAAATCGGCTTCCCTCACTCTTCATTTAGCTTGGCTTGTACAAAGCAGGACTGACTGTAGAGAGGGCAACTTACCGCCCGGCGCCCGGAACTTCCCCACAAGGACACCGCTGCCGCCCCTCTGCGCCTTGCCACCCCGAGGCCGGTCCTCGGTGGCCTTGTGGGGAATCCGGGCCTGACAATCACACCTCTATAAGCTTGTTTTACATTCCATTCTTAAACCTTGGCTATGTATAATGAGTTGCTCCACCTTTCACCTATATAATCACCTCCACTATTCTGGGAAGGCTTTAACACATTATTTTGTTGTGCGTCTCTGGAAATTCGTACCCATTCATTTAAAGAAACATTTGTGAGGTCAGGTACTGATGTTGGATGAGAGGACCTGGCTCACAATCGGCCTTCCAATTCATTTCAAAGTTGTTCAGTAGGGTTCAGATCAGGACTCTGTGCTCCTCTACACCAAACCCATCGAACCATGTCTTTATAAAGCTGGCTTTGTGCACAGGGCTGGAAAAGTCCTTCCCCAATCTGTTACCACAAGATTGGAAGACCACAATTGTATAGAATGTCTATGTATGATGTCGCATTAACAGGACACTTCTCTGGGAACAGCTGAATTCATTTGGGGGTGTATTCACAATGGAGCTGACGGATCCAGACATAGCTTTGGCCGCTGGAGCCCTTCGGTTCAGGCGAACTGAAGGGCTGCTGTAAGAGCTATTCACAATAGCCCGTAGAGCAGCTGAAGGTGACCAAGCCAAAGGCACTTGCTCCGGCTCCAGTGAGCCAAAGGGGGTGATTTACTAACCTAAACACACGCACGCACCAGGTGTGTGTGATTTTCACACAGCAAAACGTATTTATCAACCAAAAAGTCTCTAAAAGCATATTTCCACTAATGCCATATATGGAAAAATCATGCACATGATGCATATATAATGCTGCTTCACAGTTTAGACAAAAATGGTTAGCTAATGCATTTACATTCCTCCATTCATCAACGCAAGCAACATAACATAGAGCTAATTTACACCACATTACCTTGCAATTCATTGCAGGGCTTTGCACAACACACCTGCTGGGTGTGTACACACTACAAAGGTGTTTAGATTCCACCCAGAGATCATGCTGGGAGGGAACACACTACAGAGGTGTATACACGTTCATGGTGTGTTTATAAGGTTAGTAAATCAAACCCAAAGTGTCAGCCGAAGCGGGGCGAACAGCCTGCCGAAGGACCGGCCGTAAGCCCTGCAAATGACAGCTGGGCAGAGCGAGCCGTGATCTCACGGCTGGCTCTGCCAAGTTGTAATTATCATTTTTTTATTTTTTAGAATATCTTTCTTTTTTTTATTTAATATTTATTTACATTTTTAAAAATATTTATTCAACTTTTTTTTTCTCTACTTTTTTCACTATTTGCATTATAGGTACGGAGCAAAAAAGCCGAGCCGAATGCTACTTAGCGGCATTCGGCTATTCACTCACTACCGTTCGACCCCTATGTGAATAGGGGTCGACCGGCAGCGAGCGAGCTGCTGGAGCTTCGGCTCAGCTGATCCAGATGTTGGATCGGCTGAGTCGAAGTCCTTCTGCACTTCGGCTGGCCGAAGTGCAGCGAAGGCAGCCTATGTACGGCTGAAATCAGCCATACTGAGCCGTGGTGAATAGCGGAACGTTGTTCGGCTCACTTCACTTTGGCTGGGTTATTCACTCGGCACCTTCGTGAATAACCCCCTTGGAGTTGTAAAATCATTTGGGGGGTGTCCACATACTTTTTGTAAGGTGTTCATAAACTTTCCGGCAAATAGTGTGTATGTGTAACTATACCTATATCCATGTCATGCAGGATGAGGGGTAGCCCCACTGCAAGGGTTAACTTTTTAGATTCCTGCAGTTCCGCTTTAATACAATGCAGTTAGCAGTTTCATTCTACGAGCAAACCTTGCATGTCAACAGACTTCACATGCTCCAGTTTCCACAGCACTTCCTGTATTTTTACACCAATCATTTTCTGGGGGGGACTTTATCAAAACTGGAGCAGAGAAAATCTGGAGCAGATTTGCAGATTTGCATTGAACCCAATCAGCTTCTCTGTCTCATTTTCAATTCCCAACAGAGCATATTGAAGAGAGAAGCTGATTGGTTGTCCTGGGCAACTGCTCCAGGTTCTGCCTGCTCCAGTTTTGATCAATTCCCCTCAATCTATATGGAGATACACTTAAAAAGGTGTTTAAATGTTTGTTTGTTTTGGGGGGAGGGGGGGGTTGATTTGACTCTGTGAAGTTCTGCTAAGCTAATAAAAACAAAAATACACAAGATAAGCTCAATATAAACGCAAGATAATGAATTTAAATGCAATTTTAATACATTGAGGGATGTTACAGAGCTGCGTAATAAATTATTGCTAAAAGACGTACTTGGGGGCCTAAAACATGTACCCATCGTATGTTCGAAGGGGAGTACAACTGACGTTATGATGACAGATCTGCATAGATAATAAACTTCTAGATCAGGCATAGCAAACTAGTTCAATTGGCCACATGTGGTCCTCTCGTTCCTTTTCTGTGGCCCTCAGTGGTTTAAGGATGAAAAAAAATGAATGCTCTTCAAGTTCCAGTTCTCCAGGTCATATTGTGGACTTCCTTACAAAGATTTTCACAATTTTCTTACCACACTTCACATTTGATAGCCCCTTTCTATGGGATGAAATAAGTTGTCATGTTTATTTACTATAACATTAAGTTCCAAAGTGCCATTATCTTTTTTCTGGAAGTAGGTGTGGCCCTCAGTAAAAATGATACGCCCCTTTGCAGATTTAGTCTCAGTTTGACTCACTTTGATGTGCTTGTTTTAGAATGAGTGTAGCGCCCTCTAAAATGTCGCTATTCAATTTAGAGATACCTGGACTGTAACCAGTCTAGATACTGATTATACAGAGCTCTGCATTCTATAGGTGTCCCTGAGTCTGCTGGATCGATTGCTCCTCCTGTTGCTGAGGAAAAGGGAGCCTTGGCATACAGTGAGGGAGGATCCACCCTCAGGTTATGACTATGCACCTGGCCCTAGCCAATCCCTGAGTAGGATGACTCAGAGGCATGGTTGAGGGCAGGTGATAAAAGGTCTGGGGACATTGTGGAGAGCTCTCTTTCCCCTAGGGGCCTCGCCCTAGGAGGACTGTGTGTGATGCAGAGCAAATGGCCTGGGCCTCAGCACATGGCAGGTGCTGAGGGGCCTGGAGGCCTAAGGATACACTGATACTTCACTGGGCCCATACACGTGGCAGGTGTTGGGTGCCTTGTTCTAAGAAGATACTCTCATTTAACTGGAGTGCTCCTTGGCAGTTGCAGATGCTGAGGGCACAGAAGTTCCAGATCCTAAAGAGGAAAATACCTGATGGAAGCTGGGTCGGGGAGGAGTCCGCTTGTTGAGGGGTACCGCAGAGGAGCTGGTGCGAGCGTCCGTCTGGGACCCACAAGGGAGATCCCACACCCTATTCCAGGTATCTGTTCACAGTACTACTACTACCACTATTGGTCTCTGGGACCAGATCGCAGCGATTTCGGCCTTAGCGGTTGCTAGGGGAGAAAGCTGTCCTCAGAAGATTCCAATGGCATCCTACAGACCCTAAACCCTCTCTCTCCTATTGATGTTGCAAATAAATACCCTAAAAAGACCCTAAGACTCGAGCCGTTCTGTCCGTGAGTGTCGGTGTGCTGTTGCTGATCAAAGGGGACCGGTAGCTGGAACCAACAGGTAGGAAAACCTATTTCAAACTCAGCGGCTCCTTCGGGGGTGAGCGCTACATGAGCAAGAAACTTTCTTGCATTACAAGAGGTATAGACTCCCGACAGTCATCTTAAATATGCAGTTCAGTTTTGGGCACCAGTTCACTAGAAGGATGTTGTGGCACTGGAGAGAGTGCAGAGAAGTTTTTTTTACTTTTAAAATTCCCGCCGGTTCTGCCCCCCTGCGACGCGGATGCTTGCAAGGGACGGAACACGGAAGGCGGATGGCGGCATGGGCCGGAGGACACAGGGGGGCTCGTGGACAAGGTAAAAGACAGTACGCTGTATTCCCGAGTGTAGCTCGGGGTTACCGCTTATGGTACTGAAAATGAGCCCCGATGGGGGGGGGGGGGGGGGGGGGATATGATCACTTTGTAAAGCTAACTAAATGGTCCACATAGTAAACTTGGTGCAAAATTGTTCACTTCAGCGACAATTGCACATGAAAATAGGACACTATTTTGATCTGGTAGAAAGTTTAATATTTTTAAGAAATAACACTGTAGATTGTTGATCCATGGAATATCTCATTGCCTTAATGGACCAGGAAGGATTTTTTCCCTCTGAGAGAAAATTGGATCATATATTATCAAGGTTCTTTGCCCTTCTCTTGGTTGAACTCAATGGACATGTGTCTTTATTCAGTCTAACTAACTATGTAGATTGTGTTGACGTTTTCAATCAGATGCTTTTAACAACCATAAGATAAATGTTCTTTGTATTATCCTTTCTTATACATGTCATTTTCTTCCTCGGGTAACGACATGCTCTCTGGAGTTCATGGCTGGTCTCCACAATATGATGAAACATTTTGGAAAGAAAAGACAGGCGATTAGTACCCAGGTTGATGACTGGATTGCAAAGCTCTCCAAAGCAACAGTGTTCTTTCCCGTTGAGCTAAGATAGGCTGGAATGAAGGAGACCCAGATGCTTAGAAAGGCCAACATGCTGAAGGTAATCAGTTTGGCTTCATTGAAGGTATCTGGGAGCCTCCTGGCCAAAAAGGCAACAACAAAACTCTTTGTGGCCAAAAGGAAAAGGTAACCCAACATCGTCCAAAAGGCAGAGGGGGAGTTTTCATTGCATTCAACAATAATTACTCCAGGCTTTTCTTGAAGGTTGATTTGAGAATATGGTGGGCGAAGAGTCAACCAAGAGACACACAGGATGAACTGTAAGAATGAGCAGATAGCGACTATGATGTAGGTCACTTGGAGCTTGGTCCACCTACTCAGTCTGCTATTCGGTTTGGTTGCTGCAAAGGCAAAAATAACTGTAATAGTTTTTGCCAAAATACAGGAAATACAGAAGGTGAAAGCCATGCCGAAAGTAGCTTGTCTCATGAAACAAATTTCATTTCTTGGATACCCAATGAAGGCCAAAGAGCTGAGAAAACAGAGTGACAGAGCCACCAGTAGAAGACAACTCAGAAAGTAGTTGTTGGCCTTGACAACAGGGGTGGCTTTGTAGGAGTGGAAAAGCATTAGCATTCCAACTGGTACTGAGAAAGACAGGGTACCAATCAAAGTCAATGCAGCTCCCATTGGATCATCGTATGAAAGATACTCTATGGTCTTCAAAAGGCATGTTGACTTTTCTGAATTTGGCCACTGGTCCCAAGGACAATTTGAGCAATCAAGAGAATCTATGAGACAAAAAACAAAATACTTGTTTAGTTGGAATTTATTAACAACATGTTCTAAAAGAGAATTTACCAAAACAGGGGTACTGTGCACCAAACAAGTGTACAGGTAATGTATAGCGGTTTTGTACATATTTTCTTTAGCTATTGTGACATGACAGCGCCGTGTCACTATGGTGATTGGTGTGTTTGGCGCCCAGGACTCTCGGCCAGAGGGGCTGAGAGGATCCAGAAAACATATAGGGGTTGATTTACTAACCTTATAAACACACCACGACATGTATACACCTCTGTAGTGTGTTCCCTCCCAGCATGATCTATGGGTGGAATCTAAACACCTTTGTAGTGTGTACACGCCCGGCAGGTGTGTTGTGCAAAGCCAAGCATTGAATTGCAAGGTGATGTTGTGTAAATTAGCTCTATGTTGTGTTGCTTGCGTTGATGAATGCAGGAATGTAAATGCATGAGCTAACCATTTTTGTCTAAACTGTGAAGCAGCATTATATATGCATCATGTGCATGATTTTTCCATATATGGCATTAGTGGAAATATGCTTTTAGAGACTTTTTGGTTGATAAATACGCTTTGCTGTGTGAAAATCACACGCACCTGGTGCGTGCGTGTGTTTAGGTTAGTAAATCACCCCAATAGTGTTACAGGGAAGGAGCTGTGTTTCCAGTTCTTTCCAGGTTTTCTGGAGTTTAGCTGGGATCTGGGTCTCTGGAGATTTCTAAGAGTCTTGGGCGCCAAACGCACCAACCACCATAGTGACACGGCACTGTCCTGTCACACTATTTATATGAGGACTGAATAAAAATGTAAAAATAGTTGATTTCTTGTTTAAAGGGTTTAGTAGTCCAAGATAAAATTTAAACAGAGAACAGTTATTCCTCACCATCAGGGCTTTGTCAGACAATTCAGTGAGAGAGAGAGAGGTTGCCTGAAAGGCGATAAGGATAACAGCCCATAGTGCTCTGGGAATCCTTTGTTATTTATTAAAGTCCAATCCCATGCTTTGGAATGCGTGGGGAAGATAAAATGATTGTGGTTTTTTTTTAAAGAAGAACTCAGGGAAAATAATATCTTAGCCCTTGCAATGGGGCTACCCCCATACTTCGTACCCATAAGAGTTAAGTGCTCATTTTGCCTAGGAAGGTAAAGTAACAGAGATATACTCACCCAAACTGTGATCTTTGCTGACTCCTAGACCTGTCCCTTTAGCCTTGCTCTCTCTCCACTACAAAGGTCTAAGTTCCTGTGAGTCACCCTGTCCTTTGCAGTGTATAGGGAGTTCCCCTATACACCACCAGGGATATTCCTTCGCTGGAATGTAGGGGGAGCGAGGCTGAAAGAAACGGTCTAGGAGACAGTCAGGATCATGGTTCGGGTGAGCATATCTCTGTTATTTTAGCTCCCTAGGCAAAATGAGCAGTTAACCCTTGCAGTGCGGGGGGTAGTCCTATTGCAAGGGTTAACATTTTATTTCTCTGCAGTTCTTCTTCAAGGGTTTCATAGACTTTGAGTGACTCCTGGGGGTTCAGAAGTGCCCTTTAACATTCCTGGACCTTGATTCCTTTATTAGCCTAATTATTAATGTTTTTTACAGTAAGAAAACAACAGAGAGCACAATGAATCGCACCTCCTCGTACCGATTTGCATAACATGTGTTAATGTGTGTTGCTGTAACACGTGCGGCAATGCCATGGTATCACAGTGCGATGTTGTGAATGGGCCCTAAAGGTAGGTAGAAAGGAAGCCAAGTGTTGAAAACCAGCTGAGATTAAACTAAGAGAACACAAGGTCAAACGTTAGTAGTAGCTATCTAGTAAATGGCATGGAAAGCAGTAGGACAGGAGTTCTCAAATCTCTGGGATTGGCCACAAACCTATGATAGCTGCGGACTTATGCTTCACCACTACTGAAGATAAGGGGTGCTAAACCTGGAAGACGTGGCATCAGGGCAACAATAAGCCTAGATCTGCTAGTGCTAAAGTAGAGCAGGCAAGTAGTTACGTCTGTCACAATGTGCATATAACTGAGCATAACTGCACTTTATGGCCCCACACTTAGGTGGTGTAAAGTTTAGATTTAAAAAGACAAAAGCTTATAATGGTTTAGTGATCTATGAGTTCTGATGGTTACTTGCCAGTCTGGTTGGAGATCTCTCCTTGTGAACAAGGCACGCATTCAAAGCAGCAGGCTGGCTGTCCATGTATAGCGACCTTCCGGAATCCTGGTGGACAGCTCACACTGCAGGCCGAGCGAGGGGACTGGAAAAGTCATAAATTCATCCACATTTGTATCAATTCCAAGTTATTTTTTGAATGTTATATAAAATGTTACTAGATGCAGATAGTCAACGCCTTTTGAACTTTGGCAAAGTATAACTATATGCTTTAACAATAGGACTGCGTCCACTCTTATTTATTTCTTTGTTTATTTATTTATTGTATTTGATTACTTAGAGGGCAAAGGAAGCTATACATGTTGAAATGGTTGGCATTCACCCCAATTCATGCCTTTATTAATATCTTGCACCAAATTCGATTCTTTTTTTTGTAGCAGTACCAGGAAAATAGAAGTTATTGTTCCAGCAATGTGATGAGGGTTACAGTTAACTCCAGCCAATTTTTTTTTAGTTATCTGGAGGAAGGTAAGACTCTCTTTCTAATTGTAATTACTGTCTGTGTCCCACTGGAGTGGCATCCCACCCAAGGCAGTCCCCGTAATGAGGCAGCCTGAGACTGTGGCCTCAGACGGAATCCCGTGGGGGGAGCGTCAGGCAGTGTGGCATGGCCCCTCTACTGTATAGTGTTTTCAGTGTACCTGTTGTCCCCTTTCTGGCCAGAGAGGCCCAGGTTGTTAAGAGACGGGCATAGAGATGTGTACATCTTTCTGCCCAGCTCTAAGCAACCTGGGACGCTCTCTCCATCACTGTATGCCAGGAGCTTGGTGGGACATTCTGGCTGGCATCCAGTCAAGCTCCTGGCAACCAGTGCCGTCACTGGTTGCAAGAAGCTCGGCCGGGATGCCATGCCTTCCACTGCTGCCTGACTCGACAAAAAAGCTAGGGACACCCCTGATCACACCACTTGCTAGTCCACATAGGTCTTCCCAGTAGGGTTGCCACCTTTTCTTCAAGCGAAATCCGAACACTCTAGAGATGCGCAGACAATTTTTGGGGAAAATTAGTCGTGGCTTATTCATATCTAAATAGCGCCACCCACTCATATGCAAATATTACAGGTGAGACTATTTTCAGTGGGGGGCCAGTAGCCCCTATCTTAATTTTGGTTGCCCCTGTCTGCCTGACATCTTGTGTCCGGGTTTCTGCTGCCATGAAACCCGAACAGAGCATTTAAAACCCGAACTGTTCGGGTGAATCCTGGACAGGTGGCAACCCTACTTCCCAGTGAGAACACAGACAGCAGTAAGAGGTTGACAAAGGTCCCAACCATTGTTAACCCAAAAAACGTTGTGCCTCCACTAGATTCTACTCGCTTCCTGTCCAGGGGACAATGCAAAACATGAGGGAAAATCTTAATGGTGGCACAGACAGCAATATAAATGTTTTAATCTTTCCCCACACTATGTAAAACACCATAACCTCGCACTTCTACACTGTTTTAAGTACAGGTAGAAATCCATTTTGCAATTTTAAAGGTAAACAGTATTGGTGTTGGGTCAACTGTATTGTATTGTTTAAAAGTGTATTTAAACTCCAGTTGTGAACATATTTATTTGCTCCCTTTTGGCCTGTTAAATATTCCATTAAAAGTGTTTTGTTACATTTGTTTTCAAAAAGTGCTGTTTATCCTGCCAGACATCTAGCTCAAAGCTTCTTGTGCTCTCTGCCTTTGCTGCACTGAAATCCCAAGCAGGGTTATCAACCTTGTCAGGTTAACCTCTCCAGCAATGTTATAGAGATTAGAAGGGGTGTTTAGTAGTCCTAATACCCTTGCTGTCCTAGGGTGACAATGCTCCTAATCTGTAGAGTACAGTATGTGAGCTTTGTCACCCTAGGACAGGAAAAGTATTATTGGTAGAATCACCAGGTAAAAATATAGAAAACAATTAATAAAAAAACCTTCAAGTAGGCCTGGAGTTGAGATTGGAAACTTAGGAAGAAGGCCTACATGAGAGAGCTTGAAAGGGATTGGCCGAGGGAAGGGTTGATGGTCTTCAAAGTCTCTAAACATGAGAGACCAAAGAGGGTAGGTAGGATCCAGTTTACCTTAATATAGGTTCTATATAATCTACTATAACCATGTTTCAGAAACCACCTCCCAGGGTTACTGGAAATGTACTTCCTAAAGTTTATGCTGTATAATTTACACCCTCTTTTCTTCTGTATCTGCAGTCTCATTGGAACAACAAGGCATGTTTTTACTGTTGACTGTTCTGTATGTTCAGTATGTCAGTGACAACTAGACATGTGCGATTCGTTTCGTTCCGAATCGAAATTCGGACGAATTTTCGGAAATTCGGACATTCGGATGTATCCGAATTCCGAATTACAGACATAACGAATGCAAACGAATCCGAATTTCCATTTCCGAAATTCGGTAGCGGTAGTTCGAACGTTGGTTTCGTTTTCTGTTCTTATTCGTTTCTTATTCATTTCGTTCGTTGGAGCAAAGTGACATTAGAGAAAAATATTTTTTCCCCCTCAAATGTCACTTTGCTGCAAACGAACGAACGAAACGAATAAGAAACGAATAAGAAATGAATAAGAACAGAAAACGAAACGAACGTTCGAACTACTGCTACCGAATTTCGTCCGAATCCGAATTCCGAATCCGAATTGACTTTCACACCCGAATCCCGAAAAACGAAATAACACAAATCCGAATTTAAAACGAAACGAAACTAAACAAATTTTTTGGCAGTGCACATGTCTAGTGACAACAATGGGCCTGTGGTGGATATGTCTGAAGATTCCTCTCCTGCATATCAGGTTATAAGCAAAAGGTGAACACTCCAGAGCAATGCCTGGAAGTGGTGTTGGGTGGAGTCACCGAAGGTTGTGTTCCTACCAGCTTCTGTAAAGAAAATCTGGTCCTGAGTATAAATGAGGTCAAGAAAATCACAAAAGATTTTATCATCATTGTACTTTAGCCAAAAATTAAGACATGTAAACCTGTTTATTGCCAGATGCCCACAATGTGGCATTTGAATCAATGGTGAAAGGCTGAGCATTGGAGACATCATAGCTGCCAATCTTTACGTGCCGTATAGTACCCTCTGGGGTCATCTGCCAGTTCACAAGGTCATAGACTGCTGGCGGGTCTCCATTCTCATCAAAGTAAAGTTCTCTCCCATTACTCAGTCTCACTTTTACTTTCTGCATGTAGTACAGGAGCTGCAATATAAGGAAAAGGTATTCACGTATACATAGGGCTCCAAATATAAGATGGATCCCCAACATTATCCAACTTACCCTTGAGTCACACACCTAACCCATTCATGAAGCCTTTACACTGCTGCTCTGTTCCAGGCCTAACTCATCTGAAGATTCATCTTTGTACAGAACCCAGAAATCCCCATTTTGCATTAAATGTGTGTATTTTGGGTAAAGCAATGTTGCTATGAATATTTTGTGATGGTTGTGAGTGTTGAGATCCTTCATATACAGCCACCTTATCTCACAATGTACAGCTGTTTTGTCTGGAGGCATTGAAGTGTGTATAAAGGCCAATTATTTTCTACATTTGTAATAGCATGTTCTTACTGCAGTCTGTGTCTGCGGTAAGTTGTTCTCTGTGTTTGTCCTTCTGACTGTTCTCACCAAGACCAAGAGATGGAAAATCCAAAATTTTACAGGAACAATAGGAAACCTTCCAACTGAATCAACTGTTCTGTTGACAAGTTGTTTTTTCCATTCACTTTGGATCTAACTTCCTGTTGACGCTTAGGCAGGAAGTGAAGAGAAATTGCCCCAATGAAACAACAATTTAAAAAACAAAAATCACTACTCTATCTAAAACTAAAAACAAGATACATTTTTGGCTTTACATATACTTTGTTAGGTCACCAATGGATGGATTGGCAACAAGTCAAACTCAAACCTATGAAGATTCAAGTAAAACAATACCTGCCATGGTCTGAAATGCCTAAAATCTAAGAAAGTTCCAGTTACTGCATTGAAGTTTTTCCAATCTTCCAAGGCTCTGGCAATAACGTGAACTGCAGTATAGACACTGTAGGTCACTCGCAAACTGGAGACATCATAGTAACTATTCTCAGTATTTTTTAGATTTTCAGTTCCTGTACATTTCTCCCCTGAGTCAGACAAATAATTTGTTGTTTTTTTCTGATCTGTGAAATTATAGTTCAATTCATTCTCCAAAGATCCCTGCACCCAATAGTCAAAGGGATCCATAGAAGGATGGTTGTTGTTGAGAAACTCCTTGAATCCAGGAATAGTCCCACTGTACAGAGCTATTGCAACTGTGCCAGAAAGTAGTCTGGAATACGGATGTGCTGAGAGAAGGCTGGAGGTGGCCCATGCTTCACTGGCAACAAGAACCTTATTAGTAACATTCTGTACAAGCATTTCATCCAGAACTGGAAGTAGATAGAAGTCATCAGAAAATGCAATGATAACATCAGCCGTGGACTTCTTTATGACTTTGACTAAGTTTGGAGCATTACGATCTGGGCTGTTCCTTAAAATGTTCCCTATAAAAGCCACACATGCTCCCGCTTTGACAATTTCTTTCTTGACCATCAGAATTCCCTGCTGCCCATAGTCATCATCCAAAGCCAACAAACCGATCCATGTCCAACCAAAGTGAAGAACCAGCGCAGACAGACCCTTAGATTGAAATGTGTCACTGGGCACCGTCCTGAAGAAGGAAGGAAACTGGATCCGATCACTGAGAAGAGGACTAGTTGAAAAATGGCTAACCTGGAAATTTGTCAGAGATGTTTTTTTATTTTTTATACAGTCCAATTTTTCAGCCAACTATAAAAATGTCACATGCATGAGCAGCCAGTGAAAAACAAATTAAAGATTTTAAACAACTATACTCTACACATTAAGACATATGATATGAACCTTGGACCTTATGTCTAAGGTTTGTTGTGACAAAGTATTTCTCCATAAAACCAGGTTCTCTGTTTTCCCCAAGAGTTTGAAAGACTTGTGAAAGCAGATGTCCCCTCTATAAGAACAATCATAGCTGTGCCATAATTGACCTTGTGCTCAGAGGCAAACTCAACCCTATCCTCACTAAACCAGCATTCCCAGTGTCCCTTTTATATCTACTTTAGCTAAGTTATGACTTGTTTAACGCGTTGTCATCCCATCCATTTAATGCATGCTCTAGACGGGTACGGCAATGCTGCAATGTAATTTGGCAACACTGTCCCCAAGAACACTCAATTAAAGGAGCTCAGAGGTTCCAGGATGTGAATACCATTGCAGGGAAGAAACTAGCTTTTCAGTTTCTTCCAGATTTTCCAAACTATAGTGGGATGGAATCTCTAGTCCCGGGCCAGGTGTTGCCAATGACCAGTCTAGGAGGATCAGGTGGCTGAGAGCAGCCTTATAAGGAGTCTGTACCAGAGTTCAGGAGAGTTGTGGGTGTGCAGGAGGCACACGGACACAGGCAGAATCGAGTGCTTGCTGGACGCACACGTGGAACAGCCGGGGGAGGTTGGGAGAGGTCTGGAAGGTCAGTGACCCAAGGGATCTGTTGGACACACTGCCGAGAGAAGAGTGTGAGTATCACACAGAGGTGTGCTGAGAGGCTTGGAGCTGAGGAAAGCTGCTGAATAATACTGAGGACTGTATATGCTGAAGAAAAGCGGATTATTATGAGAAGTGCATGAGAATGTTGGCCTTTGTGTAAACAAAAGACTGTCCTTAATTTTGCTGCTGGAAGCTGTCTTGTGTAACAGGGGAGGTCTACCCTGTTGATGGAAAGAGACTTTTTGTGTTTGCTCTTAATAAAACTGCGTTTTACTTGCATTTCCTGACTGCAATCTAGTGTCCTTCTTACAATGCATACATACATACAGCAGGGCTCAAAATTTCAAGTCCTGAGCTACTAGCCAGGCCTTAAGAGTTACTCGCCACCAGTTGCCCCACCTAACCCCTACCCTGCCTTGGCCTTAACTCCACCCCTAAACCCACCCTCTTAAATTATCTTATGAAATTACACTTTTAAATGTTGAAGGCAGAATAAAGTTATTCGGATGTATCCGAATTCCGAATTACAGACATAACGAATGCAAACGAATCCGAATTTCCATTTCCGAAATTCGGTAGCGGTAGTTCGAACGTTGGTTTCGTTTTCTGTTCTTATTCGTTTCTTATTCATTTCGTTCGTTGGAGCAAAGTGACATTAGAGAAAAATATTTTTTCCCCCTCAAATGTCACTTTGCTGCAAACGAACGAACGAAACGAATAAGAAACGAATAAGAAATGAATAAGAACAGAAAACGAAACGAACGTTCGAACTACTGCTACCGAATTTCGTCCGAATCCGAATTCCGAATCCGAATTGACTTTCACACCCGAATCCCGAAAAACGAAATAACACAAATCCGAATTTAAAACGAAACGAAACTAAACAAATTTTTTGGCAGTGCACATGTCTAGTGACAACAATGGGCCTGTGGTGGATATGTCTGAAGATTCCTCTCCTGCATATCAGGTTATAAGCAAAAGGTGAACACTCCAGAGCAATGCCTGGAAGTGGTGTTGGGTGGAGTCACCGAAGGTTGTGTTCCTACCAGCTTCTGTAAAGAAAATCTGGTCCTGAGTATAAATGAGGTCAAGAAAATCACAAAAGATTTTATCATCATTGTACTTTAGCCAAAAATTAAGACATGTAAACCTGTTTATTGCCAGATGCCCACAATGTGGCATTTGAATCAATGGTGAAAGGCTGAGCATTGGAGACATCATAGCTGCCAATCTTTACGTGCCGTATAGTACCCTCTGGGGTCATCTGCCAGTTCACAAGGTCATAGACTGCTGGCGGGTCTCCATTCTCATCAAAGTAAAGTTCTCTCCCATTACTCAGTCTCACTTTTACTTTCTGCATGTAGTACAGGAGCTGCAATATAAGGAAAAGGTATTCACGTATACATAGGGCTCCAAATATAAGATGGATCCCCAACATTATCCAACTTACCCTTGAGTCACACACCTAACCCATTCATGAAGCCTTTACACTGCTGCTCTGTTCCAGGCCTAACTCATCTGAAGATTCATCTTTGTACAGAACCCAGAAATCCCCATTTTGCATTAAATGTGTGTATTTTGGGTAAAGCAATGTTGCTATGAATATTTTGTGATGGTTGTGAGTGTTGAGATCCTTCATATACAGCCACCTTATCTCACAATGTACAGCTGTTTTGTCTGGAGGCATTGAAGTGTGTATAAAGGCCAATTATTTTCTACATTTGTAATAGCATGTTCTTACTGCAGTCTGTGTCTGCGGTAAGTTGTTCTCTGTGTTTGTCCTTCTGACTGTTCTCACCAAGACCAAGAGATGGAAAATCCAAAATTTTACAGGAACAATAGGAAACCTTCCAACTGAATCAACTGTTCTGTTGACAAGTTGTTTTTTCCATTCACTTTGGATCTAACTTCCTGTTGACGCTTAGGCAGGAAGTGAAGAGAAATTGCCCCAATGAAACAACAATTTAAAAAACAAAAATCACTACTCTATCTAAAACTAAAAACAAGATACATTTTTGGCTTTACATATACTTTGTTAGGTCACCAATGGATGGATTGGCAACAAGTCAAACTCAAACCTATGAAGATTCAAGTAAAACAATACCTGCCATGGTCTGAAATGCCTAAAATCTAAGAAAGTTCCAGTTACTGCATTGAAGTTTTTCCAATCTTCCAAGGCTCTGGCAATAACGTGAACTGCAGTATAGACACTGTAGGTCACTCGCAAACTGGAGACATCATAGTAACTATTCTCAGTATTTTTTAGATTTTCAGTTCCTGTACATTTCTCCCCTGAGTCAGACAAATAATTTGTTGTTTTTTTCTGATCTGTGAAATTATAGTTCAATTCATTCTCCAAAGATCCCTGCACCCAATAGTCAAAGGGATCCATAGAAGGATGGTTGTTGTTGAGAAACTCCTTGAATCCAGGAATAGTCCCACTGTACAGAGCTATTGCAACTGTGCCAGAAAGTAGTCTGGAATACGGATGTGCTGAGAGAAGGCTGGAGGTGGCCCATGCTTCACTGGCAACAAGAACCTTATTAGTAACATTCTGTACAAGCATTTCATCCAGAACTGGAAGTAGATAGAAGTCATCAGAAAATGCAATGATAACATCAGCCGTGGACTTCTTTATGACTTTGACTAAGTTTGGAGCATTACGATCTGGGCTGTTCCTTAAAATGTTCCCTATAAAAGCCACACATGCTCCCGCTTTGACAATTTCTTTCTTGACCATCAGAATTCCCTGCTGCCCATAGTCATCATCCAAAGCCAACAAACCGATCCATGTCCAACCAAAGTGAAGAACCAGCGCAGACAGACCCTTAGATTGAAATGTGTCACTGGGCACCGTCCTGAAGAAGGAAGGAAACTGGATCCGATCACTGAGAAGAGGACTAGTTGAAAAATGGCTAACCTGGAAATTTGTCAGAGATGTTTTTTTATTTTTTATACAGTCCAATTTTTCAGCCAACTATAAAAATGTCACATGCATGAGCAGCCAGTGAAAAACAAATTAAAGATTTTAAACAACTATACTCTACACATTAAGACATATGATATGAACCTTGGACCTTATGTCTAAGGTTTGTTGTGACAAAGTATTTCTCCATAAAACCAGGTTCTCTGTTTTCCCCAAGAGTTTGAAAGACTTGTGAAAGCAGATGTCCCCTCTATAAGAACAATCATAGCTGTGCCATAATTGACCTTGTGCTCAGAGGCAAACTCAACCCTATCCTCACTAAACCAGCATTCCCAGTGTCCCTTTTATATCTACTTTAGCTAAGTTATGACTTGTTTAACGCGTTGTCATCCCATCCATTTAATGCATGCTCTAGACGGGTACGGCAATGCTGCAATGTAATTTGGCAACACTGTCCCCAAGAACACTCAATTAAAGGAGCTCAGAGGTTCCAGGATGTGAATACCATTGCAGGGAAGAAACTAGCTTTTCAGTTTCTTCCAGATTTTCCAAACTATAGTGGGATGGAATCTCTAGTCCCGGGCCAGGTGTTGCCAATGACCAGTCTAGGAGGATCAGGTGGCTGAGAGCAGCCTTATAAGGAGTCTGTACCAGAGTTCAGGAGAGTTGTGGGTGTGCAGGAGGCACACGGACACAGGCAGAATCGAGTGCTTGCTGGACGCACACGTGGAACAGCCGGGGGAGGTTGGGAGAGGTCTGGAAGGTCAGTGACCCAAGGGATCTGTTGGACACACTGCCGAGAGAAGAGTGTGAGTATCACACAGAGGTGTGCTGAGAGGCTTGGAGCTGAGGAAAGCTGCTGAATAATACTGAGGACTGTATATGCTGAAGAAAAGCGGATTATTATGAGAAGTGCATGAGAATGTTGGCCTTTGTGTAAACAAAAGACTGTCCTTAATTTTGCTGCTGGAAGCTGTCTTGTGTAACAGGGGAGGTCTACCCTGTTGATGGAAAGAGACTTTTTGTGTTTGCTCTTAATAAAACTGCGTTTTACTTGCATTTCCTGACTGCAATCTAGTGTCCTTCTTACAATGCATACTCAGGACAGGACGGCAAGAAGCGGCTGCTCTCATAGTCAGGTACGCGATCCGTGACCGCGTGCCTGACTGAATTTCCACTCGCCCTCTCTTTATTTCCACTCGCCAAATGCGAGCTGGCGAGTGGAAATTTTGAGCCCTGCATACAGTATCTTGGCATTGAGTGGTGCAGCTGTCCTTACTGCCAACCTAACCTAAACTGTTATTCCTAGGTCCTTCTCCTGGTCTGTATCCTGGTCCAATCAATATAGAGAGAAACAATGGTCTTTCAACAGCCCAAATGCCAATTGTTTCATTTCTCAACATTGAATGTACAGTTCTGCGCCATTCAAAAGATGATTTTGCTATTTTGTCCAAATCCTGTTGAATTTTCTATATTTCGCGAAACACATTGAAATGAACTGGGCCCAACATACATCTTTCTGGTATGCAATTGCTAAGTTTAGCCCATTTTGTATATGCTTGGTTTGAACCTTCTCTTCCTTCTCTGTCTTAAAGCAGTTCTTTAGCATTGAACAAACATTCTCCTCTAAACCTTGTATCAACTTATGCACATGATTTTTACGTACCTCCTCATAAAAAAGAACTGATTGCACAATATTGGTTCAATATTACCTACATTTCATTAAGCCAAAGTCAAAGAATTGGCCAAATAAATATCTAAAGAATCTCTTACCTGTGGGTATTTATAGAGACCTAAAAGATTAGCCATGGCCATTGAATTTGTAGAAATGGATGCACCAATAACAGAGATAAGAGGAACGTCATTACCACAGAAATAATTAGGGATGGCTGGACCTTCTCCAGTCAACAACTGTAGACTGGCCTTCAAATCCAAATGAAGATCATTGCAGGAGGTATAGACCTGAAATCCTATGGTAATATTTGAAAGGATATTGGAGTTTGAATTGATCTCATTTACAGCATATCTGAAAGCCTGAAGCTGCTGATAGCCCTCAAAGTGGAACCTTCAATAAAGACATTAAGAAAAAGAATAAAATACAGCAAAAGAAACTAAAGATCTTATTTTTACAAAAGGTTATGAACTATGACTGTAATAATAATACTTGTTAGCGGTTATTGATTTACAAAAAACTTAGTAGTAGTTTTCTAAGGATATGAACTCCTACGCATTTGTCAATATACACTATATTGCTAAAAGTATTGGGACGCCGGCCTTTACACGCACATGAACTTTAATGGCATCCCAGTCTTAGTCCGTAGGGTTCAGTATTGGGTTGGCTCCGCCCTTTGCTGCTATAACAGCTTCAACTCTTCTGGGAAGGCGTCCACAAGGTTTAGGAGTGTGTCTATGGGAATGTTTGACCATTTGTGAGGTCAGGTACTGATTTTGGATGAGAAGGCCGGGCTCACAGTCTCCGCTCTAATTCATCCCAAAGGTGTTCTATCGGGTTGAGGTCAGGACTCTGTGCAGGCCAGTCAAGTTCCTCCACCCCAAACTCGCTCATCCATGTCTTTATGGACCTTGCTTTGTGTACTGGTGCGCAGTCATGTTGGAACAGGAAGGGGACATCCCCAAACTGTTCCCACAAAGTTGGGAGCATGAAATTGTCCAAAATGTATTGGTATGCTGATGCCTTAAGAGTTCCCTTCACTGGAACTAAGGGACCAAGCCCAACCTCTGAAAAACAACCCCACACCATAATCCCCCTTCCCCAAACTTTACACTTGGCACAAGTCAGGCAACCGTTCTCCTGGCAACCGCCAAACCCAGACACGTCCATCGGATTGCCAGACAGAGAAGCGTGATTGATCACTCCAGAGAACATGTCTCCACTTCTCTAGAGTCCAGTGGCGGCGTGCTTTACACCACTGCGTCTGACGCTTTGCATTGCACTTGGTGATGGAAGGCTTGGATGCAGCTGCTCGGCCATGGAAACCCATAATAGCAAGGAAATTTCACAGATGGACTTATTGCACAGGTGGCAGCCTATCACGGTACCAGGTTTGAATTCACTGAGCTCCGGAGAGTGACCCATTCTTTCACGAATGTTTGTAGAAGCAGTCTGCATGCCAATAATGTATATATTGTATTATGTGGGTGTCTGTATACACACACTGTTAGGTATGAACTTTTACCTACTTAAACTACCATGAACTATATGGTCTTTGTCCTGCTGAAAACCCCTTTATATGGTCAAACTGGTTGAAACTGGTTTCTAGCAGGACACAAGCCCCTCAATAAGAAAGGTATATACTGTATATGGGTGAAAGACAAAGACCAGCTGAGCCTTGTCTAGGACATCTTGGTGAATGTTCCTAAAAACCTGTTTGAAGACTGTTGATTCCAGGACTCTCTGATCTTTTCACAAGTTTTTGGGCCTCCCTGGATTGGCAATGCTGTATTTACTGTTTATTTATTGTTTATTTTATTGTTTCATGTCTCTACATTGAATGTACAGTTCTGCGCCATTCAAAAGATGATTTTGCTATTTTGTCCAAATCCTGTTGAATTTTCTATATTTCGCGAAACACATTGAAATGAACTGGGCCCAACATACATCTTTCTGGTATGCAATTGCTAAGTTTAGCCCATTTTGTATATGCTTGGTTTGAACCTTCTTGTTTCAACTTGTTTATCATCTGTAATACACCTATATAGTTTACCTAAGCTAAGTACATTTCTTTTATTACTCTACTAGTACTTGTAAGTTGTTGTAATCATTGCGTTACTAGGGGGCAACCACTACTGTAGGGGATCCTTCCTTCTGGAAAAAAGAGTTGCAGGTGGTCAGTGGTCCTTCTAACCTTCTTACCATTCCCTTGATCAGTTATAAAATCAGTTTCTCTATGTACAACCTTAGAAACCTTCCAAATGTATTCTAGAGAGAATTAAAACTTCACATACATGCTACAGATGGTTTTGGGTGGTATCTCAGTGAAGGATAATTGTTCATTGGCTTTATACAGATAGAGTGGTATGATGAGCCCAATCGCGATATCTCCCATTCGCGTCGCCCCCTTGAGTTTCGACATCTCCAGCTTGCATCTCTTGTCATGGAAATATAAGGCCAGAATGAGGTGGAATAAGACGAAATTCCAGATTGCCATATATACAATGTCCATCTTGCTTTCCATCCATGGGTAACATCTGTTAATAAATAGTAGCCATAACTTCAAACACATATTTTCAAAACTAGAGCGGTGTTAGAAACAAAATTATAAGTAGAACAAAAATGGATCAAGGACAGCAGTAGCTTACTATTGGCTTGTTAAACAAAGTAATGCAAAGTGTGATGATTATGCCAAGCACAAATCAAAAATATTTTATCCACTGCAGTCAGGACAATGAAGAGGTGACTTTTGATCGGCTCCTATGAGTTATTTTACTTTGCACAAATTTGTTGTACATTGAACTGCTTTAGTGTATTTTACATGTTTAAGCCTTGACTTGGGCTATTCAAGAGAAATCTGGCTACCCGACTACATGACCACCACTTCTATGCACAACCCATTCCCTCTAATTAACCAGACCACATGCGGAGTGGAGTGTAATGGCCACAGCAAAGCTTTTATTAAAAACAAAAACAAAGTCCTTATAAATAACAAATACAGTAATACCTTGGTTTACAAGTAACTTGGTTTGAGAGTGTTTTGCAAGACAAGCAAACATTTCTGAAAAAGTTTGCCTTGATATACAAGCAATGTCTTGCACTAAGAGCAAAATTTTGTAGAAAAGCACCCCCCGAATAAGGCTGAAGCAGTGCGAGTGATGAGTCTGTTTAACGACAACGCAATGTCACATTGGATAGATTCCTTGTTAAGGTTTCACGAAATGAAAAAGATTCCATTGAGTCAAGAGATATCAGAGATTACGTTAGTGATAGTGAAAGTCGTCCTACACAATAATCCTCCTCTCTTGTCCCCCTCACACCAGCCACGAAGGTAACCGGTAATTGGCTTATTTTTCTTTATATTTTGTACAGTATTCTATTACAGTACAGTATTATAATCATTTTTATATGAATATTTTTGGGTTGTGGAACGAATCATGTGAATTTCCATTATTTCCTATGGGGAAATTCGCTTTGATATACAAGCGCTTTGGATTACAAGCATGCCTCCAGAACGAATTATGCTCGTAAACCAAGGTATTACTGTACAATATAAAGTGACACTAAACTCAGGAGTTAAATCAAAAAATACATTCAAACACCTTAACTATTAGGAAAAATGTATTTTATGTGTGTATCACTCGGCTGTAGATCCTCAAATCATCTCTGAATTCATGCAGGCACTCTCCTTTACATTTTCACATTTTCTTTTACATCATGTGGATGGCCGGGTGCGTGTGTGTCGCTTAACCTGGGAAGAGATGGCCCCAGGATGCACTATGGGAAGAAGACAAGCCGGCAAAGGCAGTGTGATGCTTTGGGCAATGCTCTACTAGAAAACCTTGGGTCCTGCCATTCATGTGGATGTTACTTTGACACGTACCACCGACCTAAACAATGTCGGTGACCGAGTACTCCCATTCATGGAAATGACATTCCCTGATGGCAGTGACCTCTTTCAGCAGGATAAAGCGCCCGGCCACACTGCAACAATGGTTCAAGAACGGTTTGAACAACACAACAACAAATTTGAAGTGTTGACTTGGCCTTCAAATTCCCCAGATCTCAATTCAATGGTCAAGGCAGACCACCTTATGTGCTCATCTATCCACAAGATCCTTATCATCAGTCTGTTTTTCTGTGTGTTTATCTATCCCTGTCTCTTGATCCCTTTCTCGTTCTATTTGTCTATCAATTTCAGTCTTTATCTCACTTTCTCTATATTATGTTGGCAAATACTGTGTTCTAATCATTTCTCTCACATTTTATATTTTACTGTTTTATTCTGTCAAGAACTCTACATTTTTATAAATCACCAACAAATGTCACTCTCTCCAGTAAGATTTTAGGTCTAGTTAATGTTCCCTGCTGCTGCATCTTGTACTTACTGATTGCTGCTATTCTCTTATTCTTCTCTGTAAAGACTTTTCACAACAGTTGGCTTTTATAACCTCATCTGAGTGCCTAATGGCTGCAAACCCCCTACACACAGAGGAGACTGAAGCGTTTCAGTAAATGCACATTTCTCTTTGTAGTTAAATGAGAAATTCTCTGAGGGATCCTTTTGCACCACACGTGGGAGTAAGTGCACATAAGCTAACATAATACAACTGAACACCGTGCCCCTGTGATTCCAAATAATGAATACACAATGTCATTTTCTTACTTTTTTTTTTAAACAACAGATGTTGCCAGTTTTATTGAGTGAATTGAACAGCATGTTATATTTTTACAGATTATGTTTAAAGAACAAGTTAAACTTTAGAACATTTTCCCTATATCATATGTACAGTATATACAAACACACTTTCATGTGCCAATATGCCCATAGGCACATATACACTATATAACCAAAAGATTGTGAGCACCCCTCCAAAATATTATGTTCAACTGTTTCCATTGAAGGGTATTGTATACAGCATGCAAAGACATTAGCCATTGTGTACTTCCAACCTTTTCTGTTTTAGCATTACTGTGCCCCAGTGCACAATGCCAGCTCCATAAAGACATGGTTTGATGAGTTTGGTGTGAAGGAAATTGAATGACATGCACATTCTAGACGATTGTGGCCTTCCAATCTTGTGGCAACAGTTTGGGGAGGGACCTTTTCTGCCTGTGCACAAAGCCAGCTCCATAAAGACATGGTTCGATGTGTTTGGTGTAGAGGAGCACGGAGTCCTGACCTTAAACCTACTGCACCTTTAGCATGAATTGGAACTCAGATTGCCAGCCATGTTTTCTCGTCCAATATCAGTATCTGACCTAACAAATGCTCTTTTGGTTGGATGGGCACAAATTCATACAGACACACTCCAAAATGTTATGGAAACCCTTCCCAGAAGAGTGGAGGCTGTTATAGCTGCCAGGGGTTGGGGAAACTCTGCATGAATACCCATGGTTTTGGAATGGGATGGCCAACAAGCTCAGTACCTGACCTCACAAATGCTCTTTTGTTTGGATGGGCTCCAATTATCACAGACATACTCCAAAATGTTGTGGAAAGCATTTCCAGAAAAGTGGAGGCTGTTAGAGCTGCCAAGCGTGGGGGAAACTCTGCATTCATATATGGGAATAGGACGGCCAAGAAACTCAGTAACTGACCTCATAAATGCTCTTTTGTTTGGATGTGCACAAATTCCCACAGACACACTCCAACCTTTTGTGGAAAACCTTCCCAGAAGAGTGGATGCTGTTATAGCTGACAAGTGTGGGGGAAACTCTGCATGAATATCCCTGGTTTTGGAATGGGATGGCCAACAAGCTCAGGTGGGTGTCCTCAAACTTTAAAAATTATCATATGTATATGCAAAGTGTACTTATATCTAGACTGGTAATGTGCATAACTATGTATAGCAGTTAGGTTCAGTTTGTATACATTATCAGGGTTATAGTCTTGATAATTATTCTACATGTGCTCCCATCTAAACTGTAAGCAAATTTGAACACACCATAAAAATATGCTTTTGATAATCTTCAGAAAACTTTCTGTAAATATCTGAGTTCTTTTAGTAAGCTTGATTTGGATTATGTTGCATTTTTTATTAGCATACAGGAAAAAGACATGGATATTCAGTATTTACACGGACATGGCTGAAAATTGTTTTTACGGTTTCTCATGTTTCTCCAGGGCTTCATGAGGGCCATCAAGTACATATAAAAACACAGGTTAGAAATGACTATACTTGTAGGTAAGCATAAAAAGATACAAAAATAAAGCCTCAGGGATGAGTCTTAGTGGCTTCTAGGATTTTCCATATCAATTTCAAAATAGTAAGATGAATGCCAGTCTGTATGTTCCCTTCTCTGGAGCAATAAGGGGGGAATCCCTGCAGGGAGCGGTGACTGACAGTCACGGCTCTCTGCAGGGAGATGATCGCGAAGTGAGCGAACAACGGTATGTGTTCGCTCACTTCCCGATCTATTGAGCCGACGTGTGACAGTTTCATTGTCACATGTCGGCTCCAACTATGAGGATGAGTGAAAATGACTCACCTCATAGTTCTCCTTTAAGCTTTCTAAAGGATCTTCAGCGATGGGGATGAGGTTTGCACTGAGCTTTGCTAATTTTTACATGGGTCCCTTTTTGTTATGGAGAAGAGGAGAAGGGGAGCTGTTCTGTACTCCATGGTGTCTACAGCTACAGAGTTCGTGGGAGAACTTGTTTTTTTATTGTTTATGTTCATAGCCTGAGTATAGCTGCACTTTAACATACCAAGAGGGAGCAAAAAAGAGAGGTTAGCGATTAGCGTTGGGTTTTTTCTTTACTGGCAGCCCGTATTTACACGTTTTTATTATACTGACATAGTTGCATTAATAAGTCGCTGACCTGCAACAACTACGCAGGCCGGGAGTTCCAATGTCATTGGTTGCATGATCATTCCAGGTTGGTGACTCACTAAGTGATGAAGCAAGGATGAACATGAATGTCCTGAAACTTTCACCTTAATAGACTAGTCAACACTGGCGGCTCCCTTACTGATAGGTTTCCTCTAACTCTAGACTCAAGAGCAGAAAGTTACATAGTTACATAGTATTTGAGGTTGAATAAAGACACAGGTCCATCAAAGTGTAACTGTTATTCACAAGCTTGGAGATGGGAAGGTCTATTAACTCAGGTTTTAACTTGCCAGTCTGGTTGGAGATCTCTCCCTGTGGGCAGGGAACGCACTGGAAGCAACAGACTGGCTGTCCAGGTATAGTGGCCTTCCTGAATCCTGGCGGACAGCTCTCACTGCAGGCCGAGCGAGGGACCTGGAGAAACAACACATTTATACACTTTTATATAAATACTGATACCCAGACAGACATTAGGAAAATGCAGTCCAGTTCTTTACTTATAAAAAAGAAAAGTTAAGGTATTTTGCAAAAAAATGGCATAAGTACATGACTTTCTTCACACCAGCCTCCTTATATCTCCTGCAGTACTCCAGCCCTAGTAGGGGGATGCAAAACCCTGAGCCAATCAAGAAGCTATGGCTTTCCACAGTGCTGTCATTCTAACACTGAAACTTATTACAGGAGAGGACAGAGGAAAGGTCGTCTAATCAATGTCCTGATGATCCTTAATTACCCTGGTGCTCCTGAAAGGAGAAGTATTGGGAGAGTAAAGTGTACTCTTCCCAATAACTAGAGTTGACGTATGACACTGCAGCTATCACATGCCGGTTTTATAGATCAAGAGCTGAGTGATTACAAACAGCAGATCGCTCAGCTCAGGTGCTTCTTCCTGTAGAGAGCAGTGACTGCTAGTCATTGCTCCCTTCAGGGATTCCCCCCTTCCCATTGCTCCAGTGCTCATTGGAGGGACAGACAGGGGATAGGGGAACGCACAGCTGGCTTTGACTCTAGAGAGGCAGAGCCAGCTGTCAATCAGGCAGTGGGGTGGATCCTGACAATATTGTTGGGATCTTTCCCAGCTGCAATGTGGCTCTGCACTGTCAGCAAATAGTGGGCAGTAGCCCACTAAATGTTGATTTTGGATCACAGGAGTACATTAGCAAATGTACTCCTGTGACCCAAAAGAGGACTAAAGTCAAAAAAATGATTTGGCTTTAGTTCTCTTATAATTGTCCAAACATGTAATGGAGTGGGCCCCAAACCAGGCTGTATTGATTTATTGCAGTGAAGTCTGCAGGGAATGCGGAATCTGGCTGTGCTGTTGGGTGGGGTTGCCTGAATTGCAATAATTAATTATGGACTGTTCAGCAGGTTAAGCAAAAATGTATCTCAAATGCACATTTAGCTGTTTATCTGAAGTTTAGCCTAACAAAGGAGTTTAGTCATGTGTACCCTAAAAGCCACATAAGTAAACTCTTGTAAGCTGGATTCATATTGTGAATGTGTTGATGCATGCTAAACACACTTAAGTTGACATGCTTGGCAACACAGTCTAATGCAGCCCAATGCAGCCCAAATCCTGTGGTGTGAATGGTCCCATAAACAGGGCTGAGCAGCTACATTGTATTACAGCACTGATAACTAAGATCCTGTAGCCTTCCCTTTGGTAATCCATGCTGCCTCTCTCTCTTTCTCTGTGCTCTCACCTTCAAACACAACAGTGACGTCATAGCAGGGAGGGAGGGAGCTGTAGTTGGGGCCAGTACAGAGAGGGATCCTTAAGATAACATATTTATGCCTATTAAAAGTGTTTAAAATAAGATTTTATTCAAGTGACAGGGTCTCTTTGAAGTCAGCTTGGCAATAACCTAGGCAGTTTAGACTGAGCATATGATAAATGAGCGCATAAATGGTGGTTACCTTCACTGACTGTAAGCTGAAACGACTAGTAGATCCAGAGTTATAGGAGACTGAATTTAAATGCAAATGTTGAATTCTCTGGTAAAAGTCATGCTTTTACCCGCCCCCTGCCACTTCCATAGCCATCTTATCCATCTTTAACACTATTAGTTCAATTAAAAGACCAATAGTCAGGCTATGGTGGTAGGAGGGGGAAGGGCCAAGATCAACTTTTATGGAAAAAAAGGTTTGATCAGCGTAAAACTTCATCTACCGTGTCTGGATCCAAAGATTGCTTTGACATGGCAGTTATCACTATAGGAAACCTCTTGATTTGCATTTTTTTCAGCATATTCTCCTTTAGAATGGTCTAGGTATGCAGGACGGGAGTTTTTAGACTTTACCAGACATACTCTCAAGCCACTGACTGCATTCAATCTGCAGCCAGGAATTATTTGGGTACAACCAGGGCCGGATTTACTCTGCTGCCCCAAGGCCAGGTTCCTCAATGCACCCCGCTACCTGCCAAAAAGCCCCCCCCATGGAGAATGGCAGACCTGCAGGCTGCATACAAAACAAGCGGCGGCTTCCCTGCTGTACATTTAGCTCTGCTTGCCCAAAGCAGGGCTAAATGTAGAAAACAACTACCCGCCCGGCGCCCAGAACCGCATGTCCCGGGCATCGGGAGATAGGAATTCCACACCCCTGCTGCCCCTCTACTCCCTGCTGCCCCGAGGCCGGGCCTTGGTTGGCCTTGTGGGAAATCCGGCCCTGGGTACAACAAAGGTTAGGAGGCAGAACACAAGGAGAAGAAGAGGGCATTAGAGAGTCAAAATGGAGCATGAGACCTTATGCTACCGACACTTCATGGGCTGAGAAGAACAATGTTAACTACAGTTGGTGAAGACAACAATCTTGGGGCATCACTAGGAGACTCGTGCAGAATAGTTCCACTTCCTTTTATTTTAAATTATTTTTGCATAACAGGGATGATGCAAAATGTTACGGTAAAATAACAAAAACAGTATAACGAATGTCATGAAACCTCAGAATTATTACAAATCTTTTATTTACACACACAAATAATGTCAATTAAAGCTACTCTGTTGCCTTAAAAAAAATCCTTGCAATAGAAGTGGGGTTCACCTGTCCCATCACCCCTTCCTGGAATCTTTACTCTCTTTAAGTGCTACGACTGCCCAAAAATCTTTACATCCTACACTTTTGGGATTGTTGGATACCTGCTTCCACCACCATGGGCTGTGGTCCCATCTGCTGGCTATGTTACTACCTTATCCTGCAGGGACTGGAGAACGGCCATGTTACTAGGAATCCAAAGCAACTGAAAGTATGTTGGATGTGATTATTCAAGCAGTGATGATTATTCAGATTCCATAAAAAGGTGGTGGTGGGACAGGTGAGTAGAAGCCATTTACTCTTGCAGGGAACTTTTTTTTTTATTTCTGTAAAATGCAACAGAGTTGCTTTAAAGGTCCGTGTCACAAAGCTTTATTGGGCAAATGCAATGTGCTTGACATGAGCTTGAGTCAAAGTCCATGTACCCATTGCACTCCTGACCGCTCATCCATACTAATAAGATGGGTGCATCGGTAGTCGACGGATGGCCACCGTCAAAATAGTACAGACAATTATGGACACCGGCACTCCAATAGTAGATAGAATTACGTCGATTTTATTCTATCTACTATTGGAGTGCCGGTGTCCAAAATTGTCTGACATGAGCTTGAAACGCTTCCCAGATAATTCGGAATCATTCACTCATTCTCATAGGCTCATATGAAGAGAGACTCGCTTCTAAAATGAACAAAAGCCCAACAACACTTGTCCTAAAGCAGTTGGTTCCTGGTTGTCTGTACCGTGGATTTTGAATCAATGGTAAATGGCTCTTTTCTGGTGGAATCATAACTGCCAATCTTCATGTGGCTTATGGTGCCCTCTGGGCTCAGCTGCCAATTCACAATGTCATAGACTGCTGGTGGGTCTCCATTGTGGTCAAAGTAAAGCTCTCTCCCGGTACTCAGCTTCACCGTCACTGTCTTCATATAGTGCAGAATCTGTAAGTTAGAGGGAAAAATGAGAACTTAATCTATGGACTTGTCAAGGATAATAATCTCTTTTTTTTTGTGCAGCTCATTTCATTGGTTTTCCAAAAGTCTAGAGAGTTAAAGGAGAACTATGGGGTCAGTGCTTTTCCCCATAGTTCTCCTAAGGGTAACGGGAGGACACAAACTAGCGTCCTCCCGTCACCCAAAGCTCACTATACCGCGAGCTGTGTACTGAGACGCCGCAGCCGGGACTGATCACGGCATTACTGTCTGGATCCACCCAGCTGCGTGAGTGACAGCTGGCTCTGCCTGTCTAAAGGCAGAGCCAGCTGTACCTGCCCCCTCCCCCGTCCGTTCCGCCAGTCAGCGCTGGGGAGGGGGGTAATCCCTGCAGGGAGCCGTTAGTGACAGTCACAGCCCTCTGCAGGGACAGGATCAAGAAGTGAGCGAGTGACGGTATGTGTTCACTCACTTCCAGATCTACTGAGCCGACCTGTGACAGTTTAATTGTCACAGGTCGTTAAATTATTTTTGCATAACAGGGATGATGCAAAATGTTACGGTAAAATAACAAAAACAGTATAACGAATGTCATGAAACCTCAGAATTATTACAAATCTTTTATTTACACACACAAATAATGTCAATTAAAGCTACTCTGTTGCCTTAAAAAAAATCCTTGCAATAGAAGTGGGGTTCACCTGTCCCATCACCCCTTCCTGGAATCTTTACTCTCTTTAAGTGCTACGACTGCCCAAAAATCTTTACATCCTACACTTTTGGGATTGTTGGATACCTGCTTCCACCACCATGGGCTGTGGTCCCATCTGCTGGCTATGTTACTACCTTATCCTGCAGGGACTGGAGAACGGCCATGTTACTAGGAATCCAAAGCAACTGAAAGTATGTTGGATGTGATTATTCAAGCAGTGATGATTATTCAGATTCCATAAAAAGGTGGTGGTGGGACAGGTGAGTAGAAGCCATTTACTCTTGCAGGGAACTTTTTTTTTTATTTCTGTAAAATGCAACAGAGTTGCTTTAAAGGTCCGTGTCACAAAGCTTTATTGGGCAAATGCAATGTGCTTGACATGAGCTTGAGTCAAAGTCCATGTACCCATTGCACTCCTGACCGCTCATCCATACTAATAAGATGGGTGCATCGGTAGTCGACGGATGGCCACCGTCAAAATAGTACAGACAATTATGGACACCGGCACTCCAATAGTAGATAGAATTACGTCGATTTTATTCTATCTACTATTGGAGTGCCGGTGTCCAAAATTGTCTGACATGAGCTTGAAACGCTTCCCAGATAATTCGGAATCATTCACTCATTCTCATAGGCTCATATGAAGAGAGACTCGCTTCTAAAATGAACAAAAGCCCAACAACACTTGTCCTAAAGCAGTTGGTTCCTGGTTGTCTGTACCGTGGATTTTGAATCAATGGTAAATGGCTCTTTTCTGGTGGAATCATAACTGCCAATCTTCATGTGGCTTATGGTGCCCTCTGGGCTCAGCTGCCAATTCACAATGTCATAGACTGCTGGTGGGTCTCCATTGTGGTCAAAGTAAAGCTCTCTCCCGGTACTCAGCTTCACCGTCACTGTCTTCATATAGTGCAGAATCTGTAAGTTAGAGGGAAAAATGAGAACTTAATCTATGGACTTGTCAAGGATAATAATCTCTTTTTTTTTGTGCAGCTCATTTCATTGGTTTTCCAAAAGTCTAGAGAGTTAAAGGAGAACTATGGGGTCAGTGCTTTTCCCCATAGTTCTCCTAAGGGTAACGGGAGGACACAAACTAGCGTCCTCCCGTCACCCAAAGCTCACTATACCGCGAGCTGTGTACTGAGACGCCGCAGCCGGGACTGATCACGGCATTACTGTCTGGATCCACCCAGCTGCGTGAGTGACAGCTGGCTCTGCCTGTCTAAAGGCAGAGCCAGCTGTACCTGCCCCCTCCCCCGTCCGTTCCGCCAGTCAGCGCTGGGGAGGGGGGTAATCCCTGCAGGGAGCCGTTAGTGACAGTCACAGCCCTCTGCAGGGACAGGATCAAGAAGTGAGCGAGTGACGGTATGTGTTCACTCACTTCCAGATCTACTGAGCCGACCTGTGACAGTTTAATTGTCACAGGTCGGCTAGAAATATGAGGTGAGTGATTTTCACTCGCCTCATAGTTCTCCTTTAAACTAATTCATGACCCTGACCCAATCTAAGTAAGTCCTTATAGCACAAGTTGCTTCTAGCAGTGGCGTAACAACCGGGGGTGCAGCAGGGGCGCGGGCCCCGGGCGAAAAGTGAAGGGGGGGCGCCGGCCGAAAATGGCAATTTCGGCTAAATGCCGAAAGTGACATTTTCCTGCCGTTTTGCCGGCGCGGCCGTGATTCCTTTCATCCCCGCTGGGACACAGAGCAGTGCCCAGCAGGGATGAAAGGAATCAGAGAGAAAATGACAGCCGGCCGAGCGCTGCGGGACGAGCGCTATGAGCGGCCGGTGTCTTTCCTCCCACACCGCTTGGCCGCCTATCACAGTGCAGCAGAGCGGTGTGGGGCGGAGACAGCCAGCGCTGTCACAGGAGGCTGGGCTCTCCTCTTGCAGCCTCCTGTGACAGTGTGTGTCAGAAAGGAGAACGGGTACAAGCACTCAGCGATCAATGATCACTGAGTGTTTGTACATAATTGAGGACCTGGTATGTATACTATATCCTCAATTATGAATGAACGGGAGTGATCTACATCCCCTCCTGTTCATTCATAATTGTAGTTATAGTAAACATACCATGTTATCAATGAACAGGAACACTCATAAAGGATTCCTGTTCATTGATAACAGGGGACACAGAAAAAGAGATTGAGGACTCTGTGTCCTCAATCTCTTTTTCTATATTTAAAGGGAAATATCAGGGGTCTGTTTAGACCCCCAATATTTCCCCGAAGCCCCTAAAAGTAAAGTAAAAAATAAAAATATTTAATAAAAAATTAATTAATAAATAAACATTGATTTAAAAAAATGAAAAAGTTTCAAAAAAAATAAAATATTAAAATTTAAAAAAAAAATAAAATAAAAACATGTGTGTGTGGGGGGGAGGTGCAGGGTACAGTTCCAGTGGTTGTTTATATAATGGAGGGGGGCGAAAAAAAATTTCTGCCCCGGGCGCCCAGAACTCTGGTTACGCCACTGGCTTCTAGTCCTACAAATTGATCCCTGTGTGCTTGTGGAGCTACTTGTATCTTAGGATCAGGTTGTACTCAGGACCCAGACTTCTCTATGGACTTCAATCTGAGTTGAGTTGTCATCAGAACAGAGGTAGAGGGGACATCTTTTAATGGGGCACTTGGTGTAGTTACATGTTATTATAGAGAGATTTCCTCTTTCTTCCTGTTGTGTCCATGGTAACAGAAGTTCTTCCAAATGGAACACAGATGGCAAAAAAAACTGCTGGGGTTTTGACCATTCCCTTCTTTAGCTAAAGCCTGGCTTTAAACATGCTTTCAGCAAATCTTATAGCTTCTGGTCACCAAGTCACACACTGGTCTTTATGCCTCAGTGATGATTCAGCCATAACTCAAAGCAGTCCTGCTGAAAAATGTTTTACTGTTCTGATGTGTGGATTGCAAAAATAAAGAGACGCTTATCTGGCTGCAAGAGTCACCTTAAAAGAGAACTATGGGGTAAGTGTTTTCCCCCATAGTTCTCTTTAGGGTCACGGGAGGACATATGCTAACTTCCTCCCGTATCAGCTCAGTATATAGCAGGGTATTGACGGCAAGTGACAGCGGGCTCTGCCTATCTAGAGCCAGCTGTGCCCACCCTGTCCGGTCTTCTGCTCAGTGCTGGAGGATCGTAAAGGGGAGAATCCCTGCGGGGAGTGGTGACTAACAGTCATCGCTCTCTACAGGGAGATAATCGGAAAGTGAGCGAGCAACGGTATGTGTTCGCTCACTTCCCGATCAATAGAACCGAACTGTGACAGCTTCTTTGTCACTGGTCGGCTCTAACTATGAGTATGAGTGGAAATCACTTTGAATCCTTTAAATCCAGAGCTGTTTCTGACGTCTTCTCTATCACAAAATGTCCTATTGTTATGGGTTTATTTACTCCCAGCATCACTCAACCTGGGAGAGTGAGGTCATACTATGAGTGCAGGGTGTCCTGGCTACCCCCCTGG